CATTGTTTAACTTTTTGCGATATTCGTTATGGCATTCGGTAGGCTAGGTTTAGAAAAAAACAGCATTGGCTTAGTAGTTTAACGTGATCAAGCTATAATTTTTGTTACGGTTATGTATATATGTTTACTGGATTGGATGTTGACTCATCCATGCAGGTGCAAAACCTTGTGCTTGAAGTGCTTATGGCTAACCTTACGGTTTCGCAATCAGCGCGTGTTACAGTGAGCTACTTTTTTTCTTCTTTCTTTAAATACGTTTTTTCTTTTAAGTTGAAGTTATTTCTTGCCTTTTCAACTTCACTTAAAGGAATTGGTTGTTTGTTATTTTATTGAGATTTTGGTGCTTATGGTTGTGGTTTGTCTTTCATTTCATTGCTCAGGAAATCTGTCTTGGCATTATTGGAAACCTAGCCTGCCATGAAGCCCCTATGAAGCATATTGTCTCTGCAAATGGGCTGATTTCAACAATTGTGGATCAATTGTTTTCAGATGATACTCAATGCCTAGCTGAAGCTTGTAGGTAATAAATAGTTACGAGTCTTTGATTCTTATTTACTCTCTTTTACTTGGGAATTTTTAAGATTTGATTGACCAAAATTTCTTTTCGTTTATAAAAGCATTTCTGACTTCTACCCAAGTTGAGAGTCTACAGCAAGACATGCACTTGAGAGTTGGTAGCCTCTTCTGGAACATAAAATTTTTTGTTGCCATACCTTTTTTTCCAAATTCATCCTAAAAAATAAAACATGGAAGCAGTGATATTTACAGTTTCATATCCCTAAATGTTGTTGTTGGTTGTGAAATTGTTGCCGATGCCAAGTCCTTAGTTGCTCATATAATTTGTTAGGCTGTGTTTGTAACATATTTGACACTGTAGCATATGATGTATTCCTCTTAATCCATGCTATACACTTTCTTTACAGTTTAAATTCTGACACAGGTTGTTAACTTTGGGTCTTCAAGGTAATGAATGTTGTCCCTGGGCCGAGGCAGTGCAGTCTGAACATATTCTTTGTCGTATTATGTGGATTGCGGAAAATACCTTAAATCCGCAGCTTTTAGAGAAGGTAGCAACAAAATTATATTCCATTCTGTACAGATGCAACACTATTATTTTAATTTAAGCACACAAGTTCTATTTATACATTTACAGTAGCAAATGTGTAAGATGCCTGTAGGTTGCAACCATAAGAAAATAGCAATTATAAAAAACATATAACCAGCACCAAAGATGGGTACTTCACTGTTTTAAAGGCCACACCTATCTCCAAAATTTAGAGTTTCCAGGATGCTGGTGCTTGTTTGGTGTGCTGGTTTCAGGATGCCCTTGAGAAGCTCTGGAGGAAATAAAGATGAAATAGGAACCTTGTAACCTTTAAACATTTAGGGTAGGTGAGGCATGCTAATAACCAGGCTAGAGAGCTGAGCAGTTAAATACTTGATCAATTTTGGAAATTCTTTGGGTTTATAGCTCTGTGATGCAGTTGCAATCAATTGTCCAGAGTGCATGAAGGACTTAAAGAAAGCCCATAATTGGTCTCAGTTATCTTAATGGGGAATTACTGAAGATTTTCAATTCTTAAATCAAATATGGAAATTCTTTAAAACAAATTGTTGAGAAACATACTCCATTTGCATTTGCATTTGCTTTTAAATGATCTCATCTGTTTTTGCATATATCCACATGTTTAACACATAGAAGTATCTAACGCTTTGTGCTTTATGCGTTTGTATATGTGATTTTTTTTCTTTTTAAACGATCAATTATTATTGCTTAAATTTTGTGGTTTCCAATGTCTAAAGAAGTTTCCTTCTTGAACAGAGTGTAGGACTGATGCTAGCTATTCTAGAAAGTCAACAGGAAGCTTCATGTACCATTGTCCCATCCTTGATGAAGCTGGGTTTACCAAGTCTATTGATCAATCTCTTGGATGTTGAAATGAGCAAATTAACAGAGGAAAGAGTACCTGAAAGGTGTGACCTTGCCCCGTTTGCATTGAAGGGTTAACACAATCAATATGTTGTCTGATATCCAATTTGACAATCAATCTATATATCATTCCAGGTACTCTGTTCTTGATGTAATTCTCCGTGCAATTGAAGCTCTTTCCATTTTGGATGGTCATTCCCAAGAAATCTGCTCTAATAAGAAACTTCTCCAACTAGTTTGTGACCTGATCAAACTCCCGGATAAAGCTGAGGTATTGTGACTGCATAGTCCCTAATTAGCACTGCGAATCATATGCTGTGTGGCTGGTGATTTACTTAAGCTTTAATTGTTGATAATTTAATATACAGGACCAAAACAGCACTTGTAGATCTTCTGAATTTGGAACTATGACTATCCATCCTCCAAAACTGAACTGACCATCTGTTAATACTTTTCCATCCTCAAAACTAGTGCCAGGATGAAGTTTCTATTGCAAAGTTTTAATTACAAGCCCATTTGGTGTGGGCTCTTTGTGATGTTTGTGATATGCAAATTTTACAGCAGGCTTTCACATGCCTTCTGTACTGGCAGGTTCAGGTTCTTAGTAATATGGTTTTGTCAGCGATACATAGTACATCTATGATAAGATTGCATTTAGTGCTGCATATTTACAGTTCGCATAAAATTATGAAGTTGCTTCAACCTCAATTTTTAGTGACATCATGAACTGGAATAAGTGTTTTGTCATGTTTAATAACCATGTTACTTGGATTTAATCCTTTCTCCTGGTAAATGCTGTCAAAAGAGTTCGCACAATCCATTACTCAAGATCAGACCACACTAGGATTTTCTGTTTTTAGTTTATGAACATGTTGTAGATTTGATAACAGAACTGATTTATGAAAGCCTATTCAAAATCCTCACAGCTAAAGGATTATACAGAACTAGTGAGGCAGACACCTGTGTTCCCTGTTTGATTTTTAAAACAGTAAGCAAATAAAAGTCGATCTTTTACAATTGCTATGAGTGTGTTGACTAGGCCTTCTACTTGTAACTTTAAGTTAAAAGATTTTGCATCAATAACCGGAAGTGAAGGGAAAAGTTAAATCTTTAAGCAGTGACAATGGATGTCATCATGCTGGATGTTCTCATTTATGCTTATTCCTTGGCTTCGGGAGGAATCTATTGCTGCTTGACTAAATTGTGAAGTCATGTCTGTGCTGCAGGTTGCTAGCTCTTGTGTTACTGTTGCTGTCTTGATTGCGAATATTCTGTCTGATGTGCCTAATTTAGCCTCAGAGATGTCACAAGGTATAATGTACTTGTTTCTTATCAGCAAGATTTATTCCTGAATCACAATCTTCTGCAAATAATTGGCCCCTAATTGAACTAGTGGTGACACATTGGCTGTCCAGATTTGCCATTCTTACAGGGACTACTCGAGGTATTTCCTTTGGCTTCAGATGATGTAGAAGCAAGGAGTGCTCTGTGGAGCATTATTGCAAGGTTACTCGTTCGAGTTAGAGAAAATGACATAAGCCTGTCAAGCCTACATCAGTATGTGTTGGTTCTAGCAAGAAAATCTGAGATTATTGAAGATGATCTTCTCAACCGACAATCAGATAATTCCTGTGAAGAAACCAAGAACATGACCAGTTCTAGCTCAAAATCAAATCGAAGTACAGCTGTATCCTTGTCTTATTTTCATAAACTTACGTGAGCAATACATAAATTTGATTTTGGAAAACTCATGCGCCATAAAACAATCTGCATTGTTTGCATGTTTCTCACTTCATACACCTTTTATATTCTTTTCCATTTAACGCTGATTCAGCTGACGAGAATAGTCAGTATTTTAAATCAGTGGACAGCTTCAAAGGATTGTCTTGGTGGGGATGATGCGGCAGGAGAACATTCTGCAGATGAGTTAAATGTTGGGAGATTGTTAGATTGCTGCCGAAAACATATCGAGTAAGTTCCTCTCTCTCTTGATCATCATTACTTCTCTATACATCTCTTCGCCATTAATGGATTCTGATTATTATTATTTTTTGTTACAGTTTCACCTAGTAATCATGTCTTCAGGAATGGTTCATCTTCCAAATTACTGGTTTGTGCAACATCCATTAATGCGCCCATGTTTTGTCTTTCCTTTAACAGAGAAATAACCGTAAATTAAATTAGACTAATAACTTCTGATGTTCGTCTCTCTGTAATCACATATTCTCCTTTCTTTTCCTATTATTTCTCCCGGCAACCAAACAGCAGAAAGAAACTGATCAGAAAAATAATTCCGCGCAACCAAACAGATAAAATAACCTTGTGTGCTGTAAAGTGGAGAAAACGGGACTTCCATGAGAATACCAAGTCACGAACAAGCTTCCAGCTCGCCATCAGGAGAGGAGGGGGGAGCAAAAATTTTCTAGAGAAAATCGGGGTATTTATTATTTATTTCCCGATAAAATACGAAATTAAAAGATTTGTTTTCTTTTATTTTCCTATATGCGAGAAGAGAGAGAGAGAGAGAGAGAGAACCATCTAAACTGACCAGGTCAATGTGGGCCGGGCCTCCAATCGAGGCTTCTTGGGTAACCTCGTCAGGCCTTCGCAGGCCACAAAAAAAAAAGAGTGGAAAATTGCTCGAACTTAGAGCCGATTCAGTTGTCAACCGAAAAATATACGGGAAAAATAAAATAGAAGACTGGTTTGTGTTGATTTGCTGCTTTTCAAAAGTAAAAATTAATCCCAATTATCATTTTTCCAAATCATTAAAACTTTTTTTTTTCTTCAATAAATTGACAGGCTTCGGACTATATAATGGAGAATAGCCTTTGCATCTGTAAGTCTACTTCATTTGAAAAAAAAATGTATTTAGCCAGTGTTTCAGGATAAAATAAATGTAAAGAATAAACACGTTTGATTTTGAAATGAATTTTATACAACAGAAAGTACATGCTCTATCCCTGTTTTTTTCTTTTCGTTTATTCTGTTCTGAAATAATGATGGTTAATGCATATATTTATGTAATAAATTTGAATTTTTATAAGCACAAAATAATAGGAAGAAAAACTTGAAGACAAAATAAATGGACGTAGTATTATGTTTTATTCATACACAGGATTACATGTAAACAACAGTGCATCAACTCAAGCTACATCGAGCAATTTAATGTAAAAATTGAAAACCTTTGACATGCTAAATTCAAACCATGATGTCTACCGATCACATTCCAACACCAAATGCACACTGCCATACTCTCAAACAAAGATTAATTAAGCGATCCCATTTAGACATTCAATTATGAATGCAACCAATTTTAAGCATTTTATTAAAATATGAGAGAAATGCCACTGGTAAGCAAATCGTCTGCTAAGATTTTGTTTGCAGCCTCCGATGGATGAAAACCGTCCCAAAATACATACTCAGACGCATTTGCACATGTTCCTGGAGACTTTCCATTGCACAATATTGATGTTTCTACCAATCCTGTTCCACAGCAAGCCTTTCTTGCCTCTGCAAATCCTGTATCCCACAAGTTATTTTTTAATTAGTAACAAGATTTGGGCAGAGCCAAGCCAATAATAAATAATTTTCTACTTACCAAAGTCAGCAGGCTTTGTGACAAGGTCGTAAAGAGGTTGATAGATGTCGAAAACAAGCAAATTGAGGCCTGAAAGCTTGTTTACCAGGCTTTGAGATGTGGAATTGAGCTTGTTGTTGAAGGAAACTGCAACCTTGTTTAACTTGGCCACACATTCATTGCTATCAGACCCAAATATTGTGACAGTTGCTGGCAAGCATCCAAGTGGTGGCAGTGATGTCACTCCAATTTTTCTTGCTCCCAGGTTGTATAAATCCTGCACATAATTTGATTTTAGCAGCACTTAAGATTACATTAGTCTACTACAAGTGAAGAATGACACAAGTACTGTTTGTTTAGGATAGGACAGACCTGGATGAAACTTGTATAGGATTGTATGAGAAGATCTGAGAACTGATCAGGAGTGTAGACCTTGTAGAGAAGAGGGTTAATGTAATAGTTTTGAACAAAATCACTGCTACCAGCACTAATAAGATAGAGTGCACCGGATATGATTGATGAAGCATTGGATTTCCCTGCAATTCCAACTATCTTATTCTGGTATTCCTTGTAGTTCCCCAATTGCTGACTCAATGGGATTGCATGCTACACCAGAAAACACAAAACACATTACTCAATTGTCTAGAGACATATGAGAGGACACAGAAATGCTAAGAGTTTGGGTTCTTAATAAAATTACATAAAGCTTTGCAGTAGTTTCATAGTAACCAGAAGCAGCGGAGGCAAAGTTGGCACCGATCAGGAGGTTCTTGCCTCTGGCTTTTTTGCTAAGATAGGCTGGTGGGTAAGAAGTGAAACCTAGGTTCTCAGCTGTTTACCAAAAGATACAATAAACCCAGAAAAACAAATTAGTAGACTGAAAAACGAGACTGAATGCATGATGGGGCTTGGAAATGAAGTGTACCGGTTAAGTCTGAAGCAAGTTTTCCATTGCAGAATCTGCCAGTTGGTTTATGATTGACAAAGTCTCTACCATAAGGAGGGAAATTTGCTTTTACAATGGTGTAGAGGTGATTGTTGTTGCCTGCATCAACAACTGAATCCCCAAATATGAACATTGCAGGGACCAGTGGCTGTGCATTGACCTCATAGAGTACTAGAGCTAGAAGAAGAAGAAAGAAAGAACAGAGAGAATTTGCAAAGCCCATAGTTTTCAACTATTTTAAGCTGTGAAAATGGGGGAGTAAGGAGATAGGTATGTGGCAAACTGGGGACTTAAGGACGCTCTACAGGTGAAATTTATAGTGGAAGGCAACTTTGTATGCATGAAAAGTCAAACTTGATCTCTGTCAAGATTAGTGATACCAACATCTGCTATATAAATGTTTTTCATTATATGTGAAATCTGAAATGTGACAGCTTTTTATGATCAAGTGTCACTTCTGTTACTTGTATTTTTTTATTTTTTTTCCACCTCTCATTCAAGCTACCAACTATGTTATGGAAAGGAATTTAGTTGTTTTTTAGTGAAATGATAAACATGCCCTTTGTCCCATTTCAGGCCTATCCAGGTAGCATTTGTTTATTATTCTAGAATAGAAAAGACAGAAACAATAGAGCCTTGTGCCTCATATTTTGAAATTGAAAATACATAAATTCAATAAGAAACTATAATGAAACATATTTATTTTATGTTTTTAACCATGTCTTTTCAACCATATATCATTGAAGACAAGAAAAAAAAGGCAGTCTCCTCAGTAGAGTTCCATTGACAATTCAAAGCTGGAGTACTATATCAGTGCAAGAGGGAAAAAAAAATAGCAGTGGTTCCAACTATAACTAAATGGCGTGTCTTAATGAGGCATGGTTTTAGCTGTCCTAGCTTCTATGATACCCTCTCATGGACATGATTAACTTTGAAAAGAAATCTAGGGCACTTGCATTTAGACATTAATAGCTGCAACCCTCATCAGTTTTTGCTGGGCTTTGTATTGTGTGCCCTTATTTACTTCTGTAGCAGCTCTCCTATCGCTATCAGAATTACTTGGATGGTGACGACCTGCTGTAATATCATTCATGGACACTCTTCTATACCGAGGACACTGAAAAGCCAAGATTGCCCTTTGTATTGTGTGTTGAGATTGTTCTGACAAGGACAGTGTTGTCCTTTCGCTGCACGGTTACTTCTCTTATGGGCAAAAATATTGGTTTCTTGTTCCTTTGGGCTTCAATCTTCAATACCATGTGAGATTTGGTGGGTGTCAAAACCTTAACTCAGAACACACTTGGCTCCTGCTAGCTACTTGATGTTCCCCATCTCCTAATCCACTTTAAGACAATATAAAAAGAAAGATACGAGTTTAGTGCTACTTATTTTCCTATGTTAGGTGGATGATCAGGCTTTGCTCAGCCTGGTCAGACATTACAAACTGTTCCTGAGGGTTAGGATAATGAAAATGTAAGTAAACTGGGTCGTAATTTTTGCTTTTCTTTTCTTGACTCGACAAAACTATGTGGTTGTTCTTACAATGCATATATGCAATACACAGTAAAACCTATGAATCTCAGAATCATTTTCTTAATTAATCTCTAGACATGACAATAGATAGTCGCAAGACCTAGCAATATATTGTCAATTCTTTTAATGCTACCTAAATTTATATAACAAATTCAAAACATTGAAGTTCATCTAACTTATGATCCTATTCATGTAATATGTATCATCTGCAGCCAAAACCCCAACATGCAAGTGCGACTGCAGTCTACAGGCCTGCAAAGGATGATTCATTTGTTTGGTTTGCTTGGAATCAAGAAGCTCATAAGAATACATGGTCGTCGCCTCAATTTGTTGTCTGCAGTTGCAAATTTGTAATCATACCCCTGACTATCTGCCAATGCCTTGAACTCATCCATATGAGAGGATGCAACCTGGAATCCCGCCAGTACATTTGCTGTGCTCTCGGCCTGTCGAGAAGAATATATAAATTTTTATTCATGAGATTTTTAAGGAAAAATATTTCTTTTTTTAATTATTTTTTATTTTTATTTAGTTTAAGAAAATATTTCTCTGGTGTTTTTTTTTTTTTTTTTAGTTTAGTTTTCTATACCAACCGAGTAGATGAAAATCATATAAGAAAGACAGCTAACATAAAATCCTTTTACACAGGGTTACCGCATGGAAAGTTTAATTTAAAATTTTATTATGGAATATTTGAGACTTTAATCTTGTTCCCTTTCTGCAATCGCGCATGACCTAAACTTCTGGTATGCCTATCGCCCTGAAGGATAAATTAAGACCTTACCCCGTGACTTCAGGCACTTTGCGTCATTCATCCGGTTCTTTTGAACTCTTATTTGATCACAGGAACTTGGGCAATGGCAGCATTGAGAAGGAAAACAAAAACAAAAATGCACAGCCCAGTTTGTCTAAACCTCGACGGTCTAATGACCAGAAAAGCCCGAAAGGAAACTCATGCAGGATTGCTGAAGATAATGCTTCCAGTTTCTTACGTCCCCTTTCTTCACCTCCAAAGCACTTTTCTCCATAATCCAGGATTCACAAAAACCCTACAGTCCTTAAACTATATGATACGGCTAACCACTGTTGCGTCCAAAGGCCTCAAGGCTGAAACTTCATTCTATTGTTAGTTCTCTCTCTGAGCCTTGCGGCAAACTCTTTGCTGCCATAAGCTTTGGTAGTGTCTATAACGCAACATAATCACAGTCGTAGATTTATTCTCTCGGCAATTCTGAAGATATCAGATTACACCTCGTCACCTCCAATTTCAGCACCACTGGCTCCAGCGGCAACTCTCAGTACATCTTCGATTGAAGCAAGATTTTCCATGATGTCCACATGTGCTCCACTCTCCAGACCCCTTCCTTCAAGGAGGCTAGCTGGTGGTTTGTGCTGATATTCTCTTATGCATGTAGCGATGCCAGATGGATTGGTTCTTCCTCTCCACCCTTTCACACACATGAAACCAGCATGCTTTCATTACCATGGTTAAGTACACTCCACCTCTCAAGCAACTGTCCTTATCTCCATCAACTGAGCTATCAATTCAGAACGGAATGCTGTTGCACCTATCGGTTGGTGATAGCTTGTAGACATATGATCTCTCAGCAGGGATCCCAACACCATATGAGCAGTACATCTCCATGTCTGATGCATCAGGTAACCTGAAACAGAATCCCAACTTTTACACCATTAAGATTCAGATCATGATAACAATAGGTCATGTGTGCTTAATGAAGGAGTGGATACACCTAAAATATTTTCTTCTTAAATTCAATTTGACAAAACAAAGAAAGGATAGTCACACTCACTTGGTCTCTAGTGGGTTAGACCAGTACTTGTAATAAGCATACTTAGGATCATCAAGATTGTCAACTATCAAATGAGATACATGACTCTCAACACGTTGCATCATTTTTGAAGCCACAAACCAGAGTAAATCAAGAACAGATCTAGCTGTATAAGGTTTGTTTTCTGCAATCTTCCTGATGCTTTCCCTACTCATCCCATCATATTCAGTCCAGACCTCTCCTCCATGTGGTGTGTCAGTAATCTTGTTGGTTCTTGCGCCCAAAAAATCCTGTTGAAGCGTACTTATCATCATCCGCATCGTGCAAATAGAAAGGACAGCTTGCTAAAAGTCTAAATGAAAGGATCGCTTGATCTCCACTGGCATTATACAGGGTTAATGAAATCAAGCATGAAAGGAAATAAGCTTCCAATCTATAAATTGATACAGGAAGCACATTTCCCCTCGATGATTAACACAATCTTCGATTGCTCATCTTGCAAACTTCAAATAAGCACCCTACTCATGAAACGCGGCTTTTTTTTCTTCACAGTCCAGCATTTTGACTGGAAGTGAAGGTTCTCTCTGTTCAGCATATGAAGATTATGTTTTGTGTCAAGTGCACAGCAGCTAAATGCTAACATCCCACTAAGTGATCAACAATGCTTTCTAAGCGAAAGGAAGATCATGTTTGTGCATAGGGAGCCTGGCCACAGGGCTTCATACCTCCAGAGAAACCTAGTAATATTGTATCAAGGATGATTGACAAGGTGCAATCAGATAAAAGGATTTCACAGTCATTTCTCTCATAACCTAGCAAACTCTCGCGGTTATAAGTAGCAGGATTAGTTAAGAAAATACCTTTGTGCCAACAGAGGGAAGCTGTGAGGATGATAATTGCAAAATTTCCCTTCCAAAATAAATGATCCTTCCATACTTATCTGATTCTTTCACACGAGAACCCATCTTCACATCACTGCCATTCATATCCTTTTCTCCTGCAGAAGCTCGGAAGGATCTTTTCTTTGATAAATCACAAGCATGCCCTTCTTCAGGAGACCAATCCAAATTTCCCCAGATGGTCTCTCCTCCTTTAGGTAACAATGACGCCATTGAATCCCATGTTCAAGTCACCCGCATGACATGCTCCAAGGTCTGAAGTCCAAGAATCTCAGAATCCAAAACGCCAGGATCCATAGCTCTGCGATGTCCACATGAAAGCATTCCAAATAAATACATTTTTTGTCTTAAAAATCTAAAATATTGGGAACTTTATTTGTAGTTATTTACTTTAATGTTTGTTTATTTTAATTTTTGAAAACAGAAACTACAGAACTGACTCCAAAATGGATCATCAGGTTCGTTGCCTGTTGAACAGATTCTAGTACCATAAGCGCCTCCAAAATGAATCATCAAGTGCATTGTCTACTGGAAAAATTATATCTAAATGCCAACTAATGATAAGGCAGATTGCAAATACTAACCTGATAGATGCCACGTCTTTGGCATCAGCAGAGAACAGATTACTGATTGTCTTTGGAACACCAAGAAATACTGGGCTGATATTCATGATTGCCTTTATGTGCTTTACACGCCAACCTGGACCACCACAGCCTCCCATCGGAGGAGGTGCTTCAACCCATTTAAGGAAGTGAAGGAAATATATAACCCCCGTGGAATGGGGCACCACTACCACTTTTTTATAGCCATTTGTTACATTCATGAGATCTATTTGACTCCTCAATCTACTAAGTGTCTGGTCCTGAATCTGCTCATCCCCGATTAGAAATGTATTAATGGAGACTCAATTCAAATTTATCTTAAGCAAAAATGCTGATCAGGAATAAGAACATGACTAGAGAGGGAAGATTGATACATCAAAAGGATTTTGGAACAACCAGACACATAGAAAAAGGGAAGTCACAAGACACACAAGCAGCGTGCAAAACAAAAGTGCATATCCTTCCCTTCATAACCAATTTTTGCCAAATTCTCAATGAGAACAGCCCAAACAAGTACCCTGGAGCAAAATAG